TTTGAGCAATGGGTTGACCGCCTCGAGGAAATGGGAGTATGGTGTAGATGTGACGACCATAAAAAGTTAACACAGCTTCGATTGAGGCTGGAGGGTCCCGCTTGATCCTTCTACAAGTACAAGTCTTACAGTGAGTCTGAGAAGAGGAGCTATGATGCTCTGAAACCAGCTCTTGTTAAAAGATTTACCCCTGTTCGACTGACAGCAGTACAGACCAGCAGGGGAGACAATTAAGGTTTGAATGAGTCAGCTGATGAATATATATGCTTAGGAGTTGAGGAAGTTATTATATAAAGCATATCCCCCAACCTATCATGGGACTCCAGAAGCAGAATTATTAGGCAAGAGGAGTGTTCTCTCTAATCAATCTGTTGTAGAAGGGAATTTCGAGGACTTGGTGTGTAAGGCTCGCTTGAAGAGGCAAAGTGGAAGGAGACAAACCTTGGGACAGAAGAGAAACCAAGGGGAAAAGAAGCCTCCAAGGAAGCCTAGTGATGACTCTGAAGAGAAATAAAGGGGGCTACAAGTGCCATCGATGTAGCAGTACACAACACTTTATTCGTGACAGTCCATTCGAAGGATGGGGAGCAACAAAAGAAGCTAGGTCTTATTTTGTAAATGGTAGGTTCATTACATGTACTATAATCTTGTTATGTCATCACAACAAGACTATAATGTCCCACCCTATGCCTCCCCTAGTATGATTAATATTGTGTTATGTCTGTGCATATGTCACTTCACGTAATAATGCATCTACGTTTGCTAAAATCTGTATAAACATTTGTTCCCTAATTAAGATTGGTTTAGAACTTGCTCTTTGTGTGTCTTGTGAATTTTAATATTCAAATTTAAATTTTAAATATTCAATTTTAAAATAAAATTCAATTTTAAATTTACAAGTTGTTTGTCCTAATGTTATCGTAAAGTCATGTTAACTTGTATTCCTTTTCTTTTGATTAGGAGAGACTGATATAATCTGCCCTGCTAACTGTGATGGCCAGTCATGACCACGTCCACGGCTGCAGACCGCGGCTGAACTAGAGAAACAGAAGTGGGAGGCCAGAGGAGAGGAGCTCGATGGTTAAGAGAAGAGTGAGCTGGAGGCGAAAACCTGAGCAACTGGAATACACAGTGGAGACGTCGATCTCTGGCTCCTCGGACGAGACAGGGACCGAGTGAACGGTAGAAGGATGTCTTCCCATTCATGATGCTTAACAGTTACCAGTGCTGCCGCCCTTTAAAGGAGCGAAGGAGTATGCTGAAGAAGACTCGTTTGAGGAATGGGTTGACCACTTCGAAGAAATAACAGTCTAATGTAGATGGGACGACCATAAAAAGCTAGACGTCTAACACAGCTTCCATTGAGGCTGGAGGGCCCCGGCGCTAGATGCCTTGCAGTGATTGAGTCTGAGAAGAGGAGCTGTGATGCTCTGAAAGTAGCTCTTGCTAAAAGATTTACTCCCGTTCGACTAACAGCAGTACAGACCAGTATGTTTCATTAGAGGAGACAAGGTTCCAACGAGTCAGTTGATGAGTATGCTTATAGGAGTTGAGGAAGTTATTCTATATATAAAGATTTTGAGTCTGGATTGCATAAGAAGCTGACTGGGATAGAACGGAACTTCGAGGAGTTGGTGTGTAAGGCTCGCTTTGAAGAGGCAAAGTGGAAGGAGACAAACCTTGGATGGACCATAGATACAACACTGGAGGTACCAATGAACGGTATGAACGGACACACTGGAGACGATCTCTGGCTCCTTGGCCAAGACAGGGACCAAGGGAGCGGTAGAAGGATCTGTCTCCCCCATTCATGATGCTCAACAGTTACCAGTGCTGCCGCCCTTTAAAGGAGCAAAGGAGGATGCTGAAGAAGACTCTCTTGAGGAATGGGTTGACTGCCTCGAGGAAATGGGAGTATGGTGTAGATGTGACGACCATAAAAAGTTAACACAGCTCGA